ACGGCGCCCGCAGCGCCAGCGGCACCGGCAACGGGAAGGGCAACGGGAAGGGGCGGCAGGTGCCGCCGCGGGCGGAGCGGGTCCTGGGGCCGCCGCTCTCCGCACCCCCGTGGCGCTCCCGCCGCCTCCTCCCCGCGCCGGGATCGCAGGGAGCAGCGCGGGGCCATCCCGGGAAGGAGCCAGCGCTGCAAGCAGGGTCCCAAMGATGGCAGAACGAGGCCCTGTCCGCACAGGGCAGCTCTTCTGCTCCCTCGCTCCTCTCTGGTGGTGGAAGCACACACGAAATCCCATGGATGCAGTAGGAGCCCCTGGAACAAACCTGGGAAAACGCGTTACGAGCACGAGGGCTGGGTTCAGAGAAGCCCGGGGATCGTGGCCCACGGGGCAGAAAGGCCTGAGAACAGTCCCCTTCCGCTGGGCAACAGAGTTTTTATTCATCTGTCTCAGCTGGAAAACCCCGCAGCGCGCACACGCCCCGGGCGGCACACACTGCCATGCCTAGGGTTGGACGGGACCTCTAGAGCTCATCCAGTCCAACGCCTGCTCCAGCAGGGACATCCAGAGCACGGGGCGCAGGGCGGCATCCAGGCGGGTTGGGAAGATGGGAGGGAGACTCCACAGCCTCCCTGGGCAGCCTGTGCCAGGGCTCTCTCACCCTCCCTGTCAAGAAATTTTTCCTTAAGCTCCTGTGGAACTTCCAATGTTTCAGCTTGTGGCCGTTTCCKCTAGTCCTGYCGCTGGCYACCACTGGAAAGAGGCCGYCCCCTCCTCCTCACTGCCTCCCTTGAGGTATTTGYATACACATTTGTACACATATAATTAGTAAATAAGCAACAGCTACATAAATAAAAAATTCTTAATTAATGCAGACAGTACTGTACTGATGCTTCTTTTCCAGGCCTCCTTTCCTTGTTTTCCAATAATGAAACAACTGAAGTGTTATTTCCAATAACTGAACTTTCCAGTCTGTGTGAAGTTCTTCCACTTCTGATACGTGTTTGCTGCTCACTATTGTACGTATTAGGAGGCAGAGAAGTTGTGCCCATTTACTACKCAACAGCGTGCAGCTCTATCTCTTGTTTCCCATCTTTTAAACAACTTCTCCAAACAGAGATATTTGTATTATTTCCCAAATTTTACTTTCAGATGAAAATTACATCCGCACATCCCTAAATACATTTTCAGTCCTGAGTGACGGCAGTAAGACGCTCCTTTGTAAAGGCAGGATCACGCAACTTCCCTCCAGTACCTAAYGAACTAACAGCGTGCGTGCGTGCGTGGGGCGGAAAAGGGCAGGAATCCCGTACTAACCGCTGCTTTATCCACACTGAGGTGTTTGAGCTGCCACGACTCTATTCTTGCTGTAACCAGCAATGAAGYGCACGTGGGAGACCAACAGGGCCCTCCAGTCCCCTCGTTAAAACTGCTCGTTTGCTCTTATGAGCCTTATTTCTCTCCCATGTAATTGCACCGAAACTGGATCCCAAGCATTCTTGAATATTTTATGGCCTAGATGGTAACAATTCTTTTCATGAATATCTATAACCTTCCACTGATGAATAATTAACTGCCCCCTCAGTAACGGGGCTACGGATTAAAAAGTGTTAGATTCCATAACGCAGGATTTTTTTTTTTTGTGTTGAGCTGACCCTCTGTACATATTCCCTATAACAGCAACGATGAAATGCGATACATCAAAAACTACAATATTAAGAAATTCCAACTAATAACATGACCAATAAAATTTATTAAACATTATATTTACAACTATTTACATACTCTTCCATAGATTAATATTAAAATAGACAATATACAATTTAAGAATTTTCATTCAAAGGCATTTTGTTGGAAAAAATAGGCTCTATTACGAGACCACCATATAAGAGCTTTTTCTTTTTTTTTTTTTTTTTAAATGTTTTACACAAAAATATTTTTAGTATAATAAGTCATGGGTATGGCGTTATAGACTAATATGAAATAGGGAGTTATAAATATGACAGTTGTTTAGGTACCAGCTACGGATGTAGAGGAGTTAGGAGCTCTGTGAAGCATGCAGTACAGTTCAGACTCGGGTTTTACACTTACGCCGATGAAACGAGCAGCTAGATCAAGCACATGCCTTGTTAAAAACAACTGCCAACAGGAACACACTACACCTAGAAAAACCCTACAACTTTGGTCCAATAARACATCAGACAAAAACAGTTTTATAATTAAAATATCTATTTTATACAGGTTTGAACATTAATTACAAGACTATTTACATTTGCACAATATGTATAAAATAAATTAATAAAAAATGAGGACAATATTACATCTTTTTCCCAAAAAGAAAACTGTACAATAATTTACAAAATATAATAAGATTAATAGACTATTTTCCTCCAAATATTATATTTTCTTCCACAGGCTTTTTTCCTTTTTTTTTTTTCTGTGGGAGTTCAACTGTTATGGTAGTTTCTTAATACAACAAAGCTTTATAGCAGACTAAGTATCATTTGTTTTTTGGTGGCTCTTTTAGTTATTAACAGCTTCCAGCGCTGTTAACTCACCGTTTGTTTTGTCTTTTTTTTTAATTTTTTTTTTTTAAGCAATAAGCCCTCAAGCTATAGGCAACTTTTAAAATACAGGTAACAGTATTAACCGGGGAACTGATTTCTAAAATTAGCCTCCAACTTCTGTATTTGAACAAAAGGCTGTTTAACATCGTTCTGAAAAAAAATCTGAATTACTGAAAAAGGTCACATTCCACAAAATTAAGTGCTCTGTCTTAAAAGGAAAGGAMATCTGTGTATCACTGCACATCAGTCTTTAGTTGTCCAACTGGAAGAGTCGGATGACGCCAGTTGTCATATTGGCGTCAACTCAAAGTCATCATTAACATCAACAAGAGGAACATAAAACTCCTGAATTTCATAAATGCTGAGAGATTTGTATGTAGCAGGGTCAAGTTCTTGTAGTTTAAGCTGCCATTCCAGTCTCTGTACCGCGTTTAAAGCTGCTGCTTCATGCTGCTGCCTCATCAAAAGGCATGTCTATTCAAAAATCAAAAAATAAGTTATTTTAAAAAATGTATTATAATGAAAGTTCAAAAAATAAAAAATATTCTAAGCATCTCTTTAGCAATGCGGAAGACACACTTAGATGTGAAAAAGTAGTTTCCTCACTATGTTTTTGGGAAGTCACCTAAATTCTCAAGTCACTTTATTCCACTAAATTACATATCAACAGAAAGTTGGCGGGTTTTTTTAATATTGCTAGACTTTCCTTTATGTGTCTCAAAGCTGCTACAACAATTTATATTGCACTTAAATCTATTACCATCTTTGTAGTGACATTAGAGGCTTAAAATAAAGATATGGAAAGAAATATACCTTTAATTTGTCAAACTTATCATCAACATCCTGTAACCACGACATAAATTGTCTTGCATTGAATCGATCCCTCACTGATGTTTTACTGTCATCAGCCTGCAAAGAAACAAAAAGCTCTTTAAACAAACTTATTGGATAATTTACTTTTTTACTGCAAAACATGCTTTGTGGCATATTCAGAAACAGTGTAAAATAAAATATAAACTCTTAAGTATCATGCTATGTACAAGCATATAGGCTGGCCACCACTTGCACCAGCTCCGCATTAAAGACACGCATTTTCAGATTGCCTCAAGCTAAAACTATTTATCAGACTCTRTTTTTAAAATTTAGAGTAGCAGGCATCAACATTTAAGCTTTAAAACCTTAACCAGGCAGATTTTCCATAAAATCGCCGTGTCTTTGGTTTTGATTTTTTCCCCTCTGTCTGGAGCAACACATTTGTCCACTGTGAGAAACTTGACACTCCACAGATGGTCTTAAGGCAAGACTATGTCAATTTAACATTAAAATAACAGTGATCAGACRGCACAAGCTCCTACTACTTTCGAGAAAAGCCCTGGACACTGCAGGAACATGGGAACTTCAACAAGGAGCAAGAACAGAGGGGGAAAAAAAAAGAAAGATAAACACGCACACATATGCTGGCCAGACACAGAAGTTTCTGGAAAGCAGCTGTCTGAGGATTCAGTTATTCCCAAAATGCAAGTTCACCAGATTCGCTTGGAAAGAGCCCTCAGGGACTCTCATCTTGTATTTCTGAGGAGGCAGGAAGGTTCCAGGGGCCCGTCCGTGCACCAARCACCCCTCCTGCCCCATCCTTCCTCGGCCCACACGGCCACCGGAGCGGGATTCAGGAGCCTGCGCAACGGGACAGCTCGAGCCCAGACAGGCCATGGAATCCCGCAGGAGGGGCGTCCGAGAGCCCCTTTCCTGCCAAATGCACGCGATCCTGGCTTACACACCCTCCTCAAGTGCTTCCCTCAAAAGAAATAATGGGAATGATGGTTTTTCACCATACAACACAATGGGATTTTGCTAAGAGAAGGACAAGAGAGTGCTAGAACAAATTACTTAAAAAAAAAAAAAAAAAAGAAAAAAAAACCCTTACACACTCACTTCTTATTAAACAAATTCAAATTAGAGCATTGTTTTCAAGCCTGTAGTTTAAAATACAGGCTTCAGTCATAGTTAAAAATTAATTCTCTGCTGAACATTATGTGCAGAATAGCCATCTTCCAGGAAAGACTACACAGCCTGAAACACAAAGCTGCTAAGGCAGGAAGAGGGAAGGAGAGACTATTTTAAGTGTAAATATAGTAAAGATGGCAGCAGTAATCGAGGAAAAAGATGAAAGTTGCTCTCATAAAAGTTGCGTTTCTCCTGTAAAATTCAAATAGAAAAATAGCTTATTTAAAATCAATTGTAAAAAACACAGGCAGATATGTACCTAACTCTGATGTGTCTCCAAGTTCTGAAAATCTTCTGAGCTGCTTTTAAGTTTGGGCAAAAAAAGGCAAAGAACCTTCTGAACTTCAGAGCTAAGGATGATGTTTTAATTGTTAACAAAAGATCTCATTTTTGCACTATCCACTAGGCTTATTAAGGAAATGATTATTTAAAAATCTGGCAGTACAATGTGCCAAAAAAAAGAATAAAAGTCTCCAGAAAGCTGAGGATACCTCTTGCTCAAGCACCTTGTTCTGCAGAGCTCTAGTTCTTTAAAAGACAGAAAGAAAGAGCACAGATGGGGAAAACGAGGAGTTGCTCAACCAAAGTGAAATTCTATATAYGTCTGAAATGCAGGTGTTTCATTTTAAAAAGCCCACTGTTCATTGTGTTAACACTGTTATTACATTCTTAACAGCAAACTTTGAGTTTATGTGCGTCTTACAGACACCAAAACGGTTTATGATGCAGTTTGCACTCTTGTTAGCACACCTGATCCCACAAAATCATATTCTCTCAGAGATATGGCTGCAGCAAACCTCAGATCTATACAGAATATTGCTCATTTTATTAGTCGTTATTTGTAACTAGGAACTACATACTAATGTTGAATATGTAAATAACATGGCTTCTGGGTTTGGGAAAGAAGTCCTTTTACTTGGTGATGGCCAAGACCTTCACTGCTAGTAACCTGTTATATATAGAACAGTCTAACGATCATACTATGGAGAGCAGAAAAGCACTATGCAAATATCTCTACAAAACATCTTGAAATTTTAAAGAACAATCTCAGTACTTCACATATTCGCACATCTCCATTCTCTGGACTGATGATGTTGCAGGCAGTTACATTCCAAAAATGTTCGATTAATCTGTGAGCTCCCAAAAAACTTTACCATTTAAATTGGATTTCACAAAAAACAGCAGTGATACTCTCATCTCATCCTCTGCACCATTTTTGGAGGTGAGGTGATGTACGAACAGACACAGCACAAAATGGAGAGCAGGAGACGTGTACCCGTCACTTTTTAAAACTGCACATCCAGAAGACACCTAAGTGAAACTGCCATCTGTAACGTGCAAGGTATTAAGTCAACGACAATTTCACCACAGGACTGGAACTCTCCCCAAATGCTCCTTTTGAGTCATATTAGAGAGGCCTTTTTTCTCCCCCTCCTCTGGCAGCCTCTCTCTCTCTACCTGGGCATCCAGAGGCACGTTGTAAACCTCGGCATCCAGCAGGACAGTGCAGGCACTGAACGGTAGGGTTTGATTCGCGAGGGTCCTTGCGGCTCGGTAATGAACACGGAGAACCTCCTGTTCGTTAGAAACGATTAGCTTTTCCTAAAGGAGTAAAATAATGAGGTATTAATGTCCATTCCATAAATGAGCATTTCAGTTTGATTCATAAAAATGTCGATGCACTTAAATATTTCTCTCTTTGTCTTACATTTTTGAAAGGTGCAGGAATTGAATGGAAAGAGGAAGGGGTAACAGTTCACCCTGTCAACTCCAAAATTGTTATTTACTGACACCACGGATGTTTCCTGAATCTTGGAACTGAAAAATTGTTTTTCATTGTTGGTCAAAGTCAGGCCTGTATTTTCCACCTAGTGCTCSTGAGACAAGTTCCAGTCATTGAAAAAGGTGAGTAAAAAACAATTTTGGAGGAGATAAACCATCTAGAATCAGCATAATTGTTCGTAACTCTCAACTGCATGAAGATTTTTGTCACATGCTTGTCAAGTCAGGCACAGCGGCCAAGCAAACTTTTTTTTTCTTAAAAAAAAAAAAAAAAAAGAAAAGAAAAGAAAAGAAAAGAAAAAACCCCACAGCACTCAGAAACTTCACAAATGCACAGGTATATGCAAATTCCTGTTTCATTTAAGACAAGGAAACAGGGCCCCAGTTGGACTAATCTGTTCTATGGAACAAGTACTATGGTACTTGAGCAAAATGGCTAACAAAAGAGAACATGTAGAATTTTATAAGACATTAAAGGAGCTATATATTTAGTACTATTCAGCAACGCAGTGGCTTTAATTTTTATCAAAAATGAAAGAAAACCCCAAGATGGATTTAAAACAGGTGGGAAGATAGAAACTAGGCCTTTCCTTCATTTAGTCATAACCTGATTTATTTTCAGTCAGAACCTGAAGCATATTTACATTTCTGGCATTTATTTCATACCTAGCTTTAACCAAAATACTCAATTCAAGTAAAATCCTTTCCTTTCAGCTTTGGTCATCAAAAATACCTTAATCCAAAAACACTACATTGAGTTTTCATGAGCCAGCTGCTTGCAGAAACCATATGGAAGCTCTTCATGTACTTTATGCGTGAAAAAGGGGTCCTGCCTCCCTGTGTCCACAAGCAATCTGGCCTACAATACTAACAATTTATCAAAATGTAGCCTGCCAAGGAGAACTGCTTGGAAAGCCTATGAATAAAGAAAAATCTCGAACCAGGCATATTTTCTCCAATTCTGTATTCAAATTCGGTGACAGAGATATTTACTAGYACAAACTGAGGTAGTTTTTACAAACAGAATACTGGAAATAGCAACAATTTAGTCTTATATGAGTCTTTGGATTTAAACAAAGTACAAATATAATTGTCAGTTGCAGAGTTTTACCATTGCTTAAATTCATTTATTTAAAAAGACGAARGTGTTAAATTCAAAGACTGGTTCTAAAACTTAAAACCATCATTAGCTTCCACATTAGTATCTGCAGCTTTTCTCTCACTCCCCACATGAACATCCTACAGTAATTAATAGGAAAAAGCTTTTAACCCCTTCAGCATACCAATAACAGGTCTCCAGATTACCACATAATACCGAAATTATATTGTTAGCTTTTTGTAGTATTTGTCTGATTTCAGAACTTTGTAAGCAAAGTACCTTATTTCTAAGGCATTATCATTTTGAGTAAAGCACAGTCTACTCATTAAAACAACAACAAAAAAACCTTCTTCCCTTGCCAAGTTTGAAGTTGGGAATTAAAACAAGTTAATTCAGTCTTACCCTTTCGATACTGTGCTGCAAACGCAGTTTCATCCTTACAACCTCCTGTTGTTTAAACAGTTCCTTAAGTGGGTCTGACAGTGAGGGAGGTGGTGTAATCTACGGAAAAAAATATAAATAGTACAGTGAATGTGTTTAACATACATTTTGCATGGCCTCTGTGAACTRAGCATTCATTTGAGAAAACATAAGCACATTACTTTTCAGAGAAAATGTGGGAATTTTGTTACCTTACATTAAACAGGTGATTTCAATCTATTTGCAACAGCAAGTTATAAAGTCTATCATAAAATTAATAAATCTGATTAAAATGGCATTTCATACTTTTTAATGCTTTTAACCAGTCATTGTCAGGATACCACTGCTATACTTTAAAAGACCTATACACAAGAAAATCTTAAAAATAAAACTKCCAATTTTGAGGACTTCTTAAAGCACAAACTGTTAATTTTGGAAAGTTAAAAAATGTCTACCTATATGCAAGAACACAATGAGAAAAATTAAATAAATTATCTATACAGTGTCACTGCTACTCTATATAGTCCAAAAGATGAGAGACCATGTTCCGAATCTTACAATTCAAAAAAAATAATAAGCTAGCACACAAAGTAACCAGAACCCCAGGCAGTGCTTTGAAAAGACTCCTACCGTAAGATATTCAACATAAAAACTAAGACTGCAGTTTGTTCCTAGAAAAAATATTCAGATAGACTTATCTGAATGAAGCATCTATACTACTATTGACTGGCTACACTTAAAAACGTTATGCATTTTTACAGCCTATTATAGTTAACAACAGATATTTATCCTCAGTGATATACACCTGAATCCCTGGAGTCCTCATGGCAACTACAGAAATTCAATGTTGCTTGAGAAGTAACTAATAAACAGAATTTTAAGGCTCTAACCCAAATTTACTTCTCTCTGCAAGTTCAACAGTTCAGCATGCTCTGTAGTAACTGCTAGACATAAGAGTGTTCATATGGTCAATGTATTAAAAAGCTAATAAAATGTTGGTGGATATCTAGATATTGCACATTACCATCATACAAACTGTAAGGGTGAAAAGCTTTTTCTGACACTGATTTAACAAACCAATWTATCTACTTAAAGCTATTTAATTATTGTTATCCTGGAAAATTATTTCAAGGCAGTTTATTTCCTAGTTGAAAGTTAGCCAAAATTTTTGGAATTAAAGATCATATTTAATAAATAAATTATTTACGCGGGTATTAAGTCATTTTCACTGTAAAACTATATGCAACTCGTGAAGTTTCAAGCTGCTAAACAACACGCACTTTTCTTTTAACGGAAAAGGTCTGGCTTCCCAAACTCTGAGTAAGGTTCATGGCATTTGCCATTTCGTCAAAGTCTTCAGTACACTAAAAAAAATGCTACTGGAATAAACTGTCTCAAACGTAACGGATTTGAACGCGTTCAAGGTCAGCCTGGGGTATTTTACAGCCTGGCTTTGCCTGGAAACTTTGTATTCGCAGCACACGCCAATAGCGCTGTCATGCTCTTTCAATAAAATAACACAGGGTGTTCTTAACAACACCGTTTTTAAGAGGAATTTTGAGAAAAAGAAAAAAAAGTGAAATTTCTTAAAAATCTCGGTCCCTTTCTCAGCGGCATAGGGTGGCTGTGCGCGCGGATGCTCCTCAAAGGGAAGGAGGGCCGGGGCCAGCACCGTCCCCGTGGCCCGGACGGCAGAAAACGCCGCTTCTTCCCCGAGTTTCCGCGCGGGGAGCGGGAGGCAGCGGCCGCGGTGCCCGTCCCGTCCCGTCCCGCCCCGCCGCCGTTGGCGACCGTTGGCGGCCGTTGGCGCGCGCGCCGAGCCACGGACGGCAGGGGGCGCCGCGGCGCCGCATGAGCGGGAAGGGCCCGCGGTGGCGGCCAGCGTGAGGGCTGCCCAGGAGGCACCGTGGGACGGGTAGGAAAAACGCTGACGCGCGTTCGGAACGGCGGGAACAGGGCACGAAACCCAACAGGCCGCGAGGAAAAAGTGAGCTCAGCCTCTTCTATAACCGGAGCAAGTTACCGGGCTGGTTTCTCGGGAGCGCAGGGACCAGCCAGGCCGTTCCGTTAGCACCCTGCATAAAGGACCTTGGCCCGCGAGTGCTGCCTGGAGGTGCCAGCGGCCCCGGGAGCGGGCGGAGGGGCCCTTGGACACCCAGCTCCCCGTCCTGTCCCGTCCCGACCTGGCAGCAGCAGCAGGAGGAGCAGGAGCCGTGCGGAGCGGCGGCCGAGGCTCAGGCYGCCCGGCACCACCCTCCTCAGAGCCACCACAGCAAGGCCAGCTCTGCCCTTCTGCAACGTCAACCCTCTCCGTGACTGCTTTAAAAAGAGACGGGAGCTAAGCGGGATGCGCACATGAACAAACCTCCATGGTTATTTCCATACACCCCTCAAATGACATCAAAATCAGCCGGGCCACTTTGCCATTAAAACATTCAGTGCATTGTATGGGCAGTACGATTCTGGTACCGAGCCTGAGGTGAACCTTTGTCACTTAAGTTTGAAGGACAACACTTAAGAGCCTGCAGAGATTCCCTTTTGCCAGAAAGCCATTGAAAACTGGAAATGAGTAATCCTGGGATCTTCTCTCAGGAAGCAATACAGACAAGGATAAAGAACARACCCAACACAATATACTGACACCTCAATCTGAAAGGCAGCACAGCTAAGCACAACTGAGATTTATTAYACTGGAAGAAGGGGCAGATTTGTGGAACTGACCTTATGTCACCTATCTTATACTTTATATTTACATTGATKAGAGGAAAGTCACAGTTCATATGCAACTACTCTTATGGCCTGAGGTGATACGGGTCAGAAATTACAATATATAAACAGGGCAGGGGAACTCACATTTAAACTCTCCACCCGCTGCTTCCTACCTGCAGGATACTTCGAACTTATCAATTGTACATCATTAAATTATCACTAAAAAGACTGTGCGGAGAACAGTGCTGTTCGCAGAGCTCCCTTATGCAAATTGCTTAATAACTTTAGTTTGTCACTACTGAAAGTAACAGTTACAACAGCTGCAATTTCAAAATACCATGAAGAGAATCATCACTAAAATGAAGATTTTAGACTCAAAAATGAATGCTTTGTTCATAAATCGATGTATGCATTTTACACAAACATGAAATAAAAGAGCTGTGCCTGGACTGTGAACAATTACGGAAGATTAGTAACATGCATGTTAGTACATACATGTATGTGTTAGATACATGTTATTATGTATGACACAACATGCATCTGTTAAATGACCTTTATGTTAGGAGAGTTTTTAAACATTTCCTTAGGTGTTTTTTTTAATGATTTTCTGGTGATCTGATTTTTGCCTCATTAAATTTACACAGGCTACTAGTAATTAGATATACTTTCTTAAATTGTTATATTTAAAATATGAACATCAACATGAAAACAGTCTATTTAGCTTTGACACTCTGAGACTTGGAATAGTTTGTGCATAATCACTAATCTCCTCTTAGCTTCCAACTTTCTCTGCTTTTCTATATTCTTACTCCTAATGGAAATAAACACTATTTTCATAACCATTTATTGTAGCTGCTCCGCATCTTTTCCCCCCTGTCTGAAGCCTACAACAAAAAATGTCACCTGTTCTTTGAAACTGGAGAAGACTAACCATGCCATAAGCACTCAAACAAAACAAGCATCTAACTTTAAATGCTGCTATCAGGAAGACATGTATGTATCTTGTATGGAAGCAACTAAAATCTGAAAGAGAGAAAATTGAGCAATTGCGATCCTTCAAAAGTTATTCACATTTTTTATCTTTTTTTAAAAAAGAAAAAACTCTAAAAATAATTAAACGTCACAAAAATGGGGAGTATCACCTCAGAAATTTACCGGACTTAAGCTATCCAAGATTTTGCATTACACAGCTCCCTAAATTTATTCTCGAGAGCTAGAGTCCTTACGACACACAGCCAGGGACACAGGAAGGCAGGATGAGTTAACTCCTAAGCATCAAGWCAGTCACCGTCTCGTGCCCACACACACTCCCACTAAGGAGAGGGAAACGGGCTGCACTGCCCAGGGAGCRAATGGGCCAGGGCAAATATAAGTCATATTTCTCCACTCTCCAGTTATCGCAAATGAAGCAGTTAAGTGCGATGCCAAATAGGCAACTTGTAGCTTGGAAACAGTATGTATTTGAATAGCAGCTTCTATTAAAAATATATATATATCTCCTATATATCTGTTCTGGGAATAAAGATGACCATAGAAACTACAACAGCTACTGAGAAAGATAACTAGACTGAGGAAGGCTGGCAGCCTGGCAGCAAAGCTTACTATATATCCTAAAGTAAATGTGTCATCTTGCTTATGGCTTTCCTCAGACTATAATTAAACTTTTAAAATTTATTTACTCCTCTTGCAAAGCATGCTGATCACCACCAGATAGAAGAGAACTTGCTGAACTCGAGAGGCTACACGTGCATACATACTTCTCAGGCACACATGGAGCCTGGTGGAAAAATTAGAGCAAACAGTTCATTCACTACCAAATGAAGCAAGGGCAAATTTTAAAGTTTACTTCTATACATTAAGTTTGTGTTCATTATTTAATCAAGAGAATCTGCAGTTCTTTCAGATAAAACTCAGGCAGCATCTCAAGCAGGGGCAAGTGACCTTACAGGCATGAACACAGTATCTAGTCCACTCAGAAATCTGGAGATCGATTAGATGCTTAGATTGTGTATATGAGATTTCATATGAACCTGCAGTTCAGATTAGCAGGTGTTTTTGCCACTGAAGGACTATGTTATTCTCCTTACTCCTCCAAAAGCTCAAGACTTCCTTAACTTGACAAGGAATGGGCATGTATGAAATTCCACTGAATTCTGACATTTCCAAGTTACTGTGTCAGTCAAACAGCTACTCCAGGCAATCAAACACATGATGTCTCTGCCTACCTCAACTACCAGGGGCATTAACTTCAATCTTTCCAAGAGGTCTAGGGGCAGTTTACACAGTTAGCCTACAAGAATGCCTGGTCAGTTAAAGAAATGATAGGTGGAAACTTATAGAGCTTCTTTCTATGTCCAAGAATAACAGTATTTTGAGGTGGTTTGCCAAAAACCCTCAGTGCACCATGTTTTGAACTCCCCTATCCCCACGTTTTATTCCAAGAAACACAAGAGCAAAGAACAAATTCAAGGGCTACAGAGATGGCACTGACTTGTGTAACTGGTCTGTTCTTCAGAACAGAGCTCAGCAGTGGTCACACAGTTATTTTAAGACACCTTGAGGGGCACCTCCAAAGCCAATAGTGATATTAACTGCACTTATACCAATTCTTTGCTACATTACCCAGAGGACACTCAAATGACTGACCTCTTCCACAACTCTGACATGGGCATATTGCTAAGGATACCTATGGCAACCTTAAAACTAGACAAATGGCCCTGAACTATAGATGTTCTTCAGTGAAATGGAAAACAATTTCACATGATTAAAAGCAATTCGGAACTCTAAATTGATGGATTACAAAAGCTGGGACACAGCAGATCACATTTTCTGCTCTTGAGGGTATGAAGGAGAAATTGAAATTGTTAGTAGATACCCTTAGGTGACAAACTTAAAATCTTACAGCAGAGCATGTCCAGCCTTCTCCAAATACAGAAATYCCAGCTTGGAATAATTAGTTTTAGCTAGGCTCATGCCAGCAGAATCGTGGAGAAGCTCTTCAAAGTGTCTTTAATTTTTAGAAGCTGGTTTTATAGTAGGAAACACTCTGAAATATGAGGAAAAATATTTATGTACCTTTTACAGGTTTCCTACTGACTGCTTGCCTTGTAATGACTTTGACACCACTGCTTTTACTGCCACCAAAGGATTTATTTTAGGTATTGATGTCAAAACTAATCTCTGCTGTGGGTCAATTCATGATTTTCAACACAAATATTCTACTGAATCCTAAATAAAGGACCAAGATTTTTCAGAAGTTATGAAGAACATGAAAGTTACAAAATAGAAACAAAATATGCCCTTCATTGCCCTAGATACTGAAAGTGTGTTACTTACAGTGGGAATGCATATCTTGCTCAAGGGATTGCCATCCAGCAGGTATGATCCATTGAAGGTCACATATTCATCATAATATTGAGGTGCCTGAGGAATAACACTGCACAGCAATTTACGCTTCTCTTCTATTTTTTTTCTTATGTGTAGGTATTCAAAATACGGATTGGCTCTCTCTGAGCTGTATGGCTGAATCTCTTCGAGCTTCAGAGAATCCACAAGAGCTGCCAAAGACTGCTGTGTCTTCTCCTTAGCTTGCAGTAAAGAGGGGTTCACTTGCACAGGCTGAGGCACACGGGATACTTTCCTTTTGCGTGGGTGATGCACCTGAGCATCATCTTCCTCAGTTAATCTAATTCTTGCTTTCATAGCTGCTGCTGATTCGGACTCTTTCTCTGACGTCAGTGTGCAGCCCACAGGATTCTGCTTACCTTGGTTAGCAAGCAGGTTCGCTCTGTTTCTTGTGATTCTTTGAGGTACTTCCTGCTCTTCTGCTTTCTGGTCCTCAGCAATTTCTTCTCCTTCCAGTTTAACTATTTGGCTGTATTTATGCACCTCTTCCGGCATAACCTGTTGTGAACTACCTTCCAAATTAGCTAAGGAGTACTGTGGTGGATCATCTGTCAAGAGGTTTTCTCTCTCTGCAGCGCAGGGTTTTTTATGAGCTGATTCTCTCATCATTTCCTTTGACATCCCCAAACTCACTTCTCCAGGATCAGTGTCTGCTTTATTACTAACCAGATGCACCGAAACCAAGTTTGCCTGCTGGCTCTTGTCATTTCTGGTGTCTGTAGCATCCACCGTGCTACTAACCATCTCCATTTGAGCATTCCTGCAAACGAGCCTATTGAATGCATACACATTTGCACTTACATGAGAACTGGGCTCACCCTCAGCAGCATCTTTTTCTATCAGCACTGTCCGCAAATCACTCGCCCTTTCGTAGCTCTGGGAACTATCCTGAGGAGAGCTCTCAGAATATACAGCAACGGGGGCATCAGCCTTCTTCACGTTTGAAGGGAAGAAAGCATTTTCTATCTCTCTGGTACTACCAACATCTGTATCCAACGTAACAGCTGACATCGGAACTAGACTTTGTTGCTGCATGAATAACGAATCTTGACTGCTAGTGCCTGGTAAAGAAATGTGCTTAGATATATCTGAGAGTGGCTGGATAGGTAACAAACAAGGMGACTGAGAAGGCAAATATGATACAGATTCCTGGAAACTGAAGTTTCCCTTGATTTCAGCATGCTGAGGCAAAAATTCAGGTAATCTTTGCTCTTTTAAAGTCCTATTTTCAGAGTTATGCATTGCTACAACATTATTAGCATCTTGCTCYGATACAGCATAACCTGAGCTGTTAAACTCGTTGTTCAATGAATTAAGTCTGTTGTCAAAAGGCACATCCCACAGTTTGGTCTGTTGAATCATTCCCCCATGACTACAAGGCTCCAAATGCACATTAAATTCTTCCGAGGGGCTCGCCTGAGCGGTATTTCTAACAGTGCTGGTACCTGCTGTTACCTGCTTGTTGCTGCTWGCAGCTCCAGCTGGAGATGATGTCAAGCTTGACTGCAGAGCAGACATGCTACTGGGAAAGTCCCTTTCGAGCCCGTAGCTCTGGCTACCTGGCAGCTCTGGCTTTGGAGAAGCACAGGCGTAACTCGGAAGCGACGGGAGGGCGCTCTGAGGGTTTTCTTCTGCTCCCCGAGCCTGTCTGCTCTGCTCAGGAACAGCAGCAGGCAGGCTGCACCGCCGCACCTCCACCACGGGCCTGCCCTCGCTCAACACCAGCTTAACATCTTCGACAGATGCTGATCTAGCATAGCCTGGGGGAAGCCTGCTTGTGAAAGGGGGCTTCATGCGATCCGTCAGCTCAGCGCCGCTATCGGGCTCCCTTTCCAGAAGGGCGGGTGATTTGGCCCTCGCCAAAAACGGTGACTGGGAGAAAGACATTTGGGAGTCAGAGCTTTCTAGCATGAAGTCTGAATCGTACTCCATTACAGGCCTTGGAGTAGTTACTGTGGTATGGCAAGAATCCTCAGAGCTTGCAACTGAAACCATAGATACTGACCTGGAGCTCAGACCTGTCTTCTCAGTTTCAGATTTTGGAGACCTATTTATATTATCTAAAACCAGTGATGTTTTTACATTTACAGGTTTTGTATCCACTGACAGTGATCTGCTGCTGGTAGCTTCCTTCTGCTGTTTCTCCTTCATGCAAACATCGGCCAACTCGGAGCTTTTTGAACGAACCAGCTCTTTGTTCTTTACTTCTGTTAATGAGTGCCTGGCTTTTTCTTTCATCTTGTTCAGTTCAAAGCACGTGCGATTCCTGAGCCGCTCCTTCTCTTTCTGTTTTATTTTYTCTTTATGTTTCCTATGCCACTGCTCAATTTCCAAATCTTTAAGACTTAGCATTCTTTCGAAGCTAGTTTGCATTAAGTCATCATTGACTAACCTTTTTTCTTTCGGTCGAGCATCCTTTGGTGCAGGAGATGGCTTCGGCTTAAGTTTCTCGTGTTCAAGTTTTAGTTTAAGCAAGCTMGTGTGATGCAGCTTATCTTTATGCTTATCTCTTTCTTTGTATCGGTCTATATCTTTATCTTTTTTATCTTTTTCTCTACCATCTGGAGTTTTCAAYAAGTCATCCTTAGGTTTTTCTTTCAAAGATGACAGTTTGTCATGCACTGTTTTATTGCTTTCTGTAATACTGCATCTCCTTTCTTCTTGCACATGTTTCGAGTTTGCTACTGTTAAGCCCTCTTTATCTTTAGATTTGTCCTTTTTTTCAAGTTCCTTTTCTTTGTCTTTAGCTCTATTTTTTTCAGCTTTACTATATTCRGATTCTTTTTCGGTCTGTTTGACTTTTCTTTCAATACAGTGTTTTTCTTTACTTTCAGTCAAATGTCTGTCTTTATCAACCTTTTCTTTTTCATACTTTTTATCAAACTTCTCTTTATTTCTTTCTTTGTCATCAAGCTTTTTAAAAGTACCAGTGCTTTTTATTTTATCATTTTCTTTATGGGATCTTTCTGCTTGCTGGAAATTGGGTTTTTCCTTTATTTTCTCTGTACTGTCATTTAGTTCTGCTTTTTCTTTCTCTGACTTGTATTCATGTTTTGCCTTTTTCTCTTTTTCTGCATTTTGTCTTTCTACTTTTTCAGCATCTTTTTCTTTGACTGAGATTCGTTTTTCAGTCTTGTCTTTGTTTTCCTTTAAGCATTTTTCGTGCTTTTCAGTTTCTGTTTCTTTTTCTGTTGAATGCATGCTAGCTGCCTCATCTTTAACACCAAAGCAAAACAATTCCATTTCTTTGTCTGCAAACATGATTTCTTTTTCTTCTTTTGTTTTTTCATCCTTGAGAAGCTTCTCTTTCTCCTTTTTGTTTTTTTCTCTCTCCTCCTTCATGTTTCTCTCTTTCTGGAACGGCTTACCTAATTTATCTTCTTTCATCACAGCTTTTTCGAACTTTGATTTTCTGTCTGAAGAGAGAGATTCATGGTCTACATTTAACAATGCATCTTCGGTCTCATCACTCTTGAAAAAGTTCTCTTTCCAAAATTCTCTGTCAAACTCGATACTTCTTTGGACGTCTTTCACATTATCTTTGTGTTTATGTTTTTCCTTTTCCACATCATGCTCCTTTTTATGCTTCTCCTTGTCTCTTTCTCTGTGTTTTAATTTATGCTTTTTCAGTGTTTTACCTTCTTTGTCTGTCTTTTTCAGAGTATACTCAGAATTCTCAAATGTTGGGCTGTTATCATCCTCTCTGATTTTAGGACTTGATTTTTCACCAAATTCTAAGTGAAAATCTTTCTGATGATGCTTGCTTTTTTCCTTGTGCTTGCAAGATTTGCCACTAGAACTTTCTAGGAGATATTCAGAATCAGTGTTGTGATCATACCGAACCAATTCAGATTGCAATGTTATTTCTGAGCCTCCTGGCGATGAGCAAGTTTTAGTGTTTTCTTGCTTTAGTGGTGTTGACTGCTTTTCACTTAACCCACAAGGATGTTTAGGAGATTTGCCAGCAGTGATATGAAACAGATGTATAGAAGAATCTTCGTTTGGGCTGAAAGATTTCTTAAAAGTTTCTTCCTCTCTACTTTTTTCTAAGGAATCTAACCCTGACGTAGTTACATTTGTGACTCTAGTGTTTTCTTTTTCTTGCTTTAGTTCTTGATTCTCTTTGTTTTTGCTCTGATTTTTTAGTTTCCTTTTAACTTTGCCTTTTTGCTTGTGTTCGTTTGTACCTACATGTTCTTTCTTCACTCTTACATCAGAATGTAAGGTCTCTGAAATAGAACAGGAGGAGACAATCTTTTTGTCTTGAAGTACGTCTTCATCTGAACTTTCAGAACTTGAATACAAAACTCTAGACGATTTCTGCTTTTTGTTTTTAAGGGATTTGGAAAACGCAACCTTTTCTTGTTTCCCAAATAAGCTGTTCTTTTCTGTTTCAGTCTCATCTTCTTTCCTTAAGTCTTTTCTAAGAATATGTCTGTTGTCAATCATTTTTTTCACTTCATCGTCATCGTCATCTTTAAACTCATACTCATCAACAGCAGCTGGAGGTGGTGCCTTATTAGGGACTATTTGTTTGCTGTCATTGGCCGCAGGGTCCTTCTCTGCTTCTGAATCAACATTGCCTTCCACACTAGAAGGGTTTACAAAWGGAGGCTCTTCTGAATCTAGATTGAGAAAAACAAAAAATAGTTGAATGCTGATGGGCCGCCTTCACGCTTTGAGCGCAAAATGGCAACTTTATATAAAAATTTCCAAGCAGAATATGACCAAGAACGTGGTCTATTCAATAAATGACTGTATTGTTACAGCTCTTGTCACATAGCAATTAATGCTCAAAAACCTGCCCCCCGAGAAGACTTCCTAATGTATAGTTACTCCCAATGCTATGCTCAAAAATCTTTTCATACACACATTCTTAATTCTATTAAGCTTTTTGTATGCAGATTAACTTTGATAAGATCTTACATTTTTCAAAATATTTAGAAAGGTAAGATGAAAGAACAAGAGAATGACAGTACCACAAAATTCATAGTAATGGATGTTATGTTAGGTTTGTAATTCATGAAAAAAATGGAGTTTCTGTAAGTTTTATAAAAGTATTAAACTTGTTTTAATCTTCATTAGTATTCATAGTAGTCTACCACACATACCAAAGGACCAAGAAACAAACCATCAGTTATGCTGCTGTAATGTAGCTAGTGAGGAGAAAATTCTCGAAACACACAATAGAGCTTCTTCCTGGAATTAAGGCTTTTAAACCTAATCTAAAAGTCAAAAAAACAAGGGCTCCTCATACAGTATAGCAGAGTCAGATATGTAAGCATATTAAATTATCATTCATATCCCAATGCAATAAAAGCAATCTATTAAAATTCATCTAGTGAGCCCAACTCCTGCCTAACCTGACTCTTCTTCAAGGACATTGTCCTGTGATGACTCCTTCCTCTAGGAATTCACCAAGTTGTATGATCTCTACCAACGAAGCCATTTTCCTCCCTATCAACTACTTAGTCAAAAATATTCTACCTTGTTGCAGTGCAAGGTGAGCTTTTTCTCACCTMAAGACAAAGACCTGAGGCAGACTGCCTGAAGCAGACTCAAGGTGACTGTGCTGTAATTCCGTGTAACTGCTCTGCTCTGTGCCTGTGTGATGTACTGGATATCTTGACGTACAAGTTCAGAATGTAACTCATACACGTAAACCTCTCAACTGTTCCTAAAATAAGATTTTATGCAGTATGTGSAGTGTTACCACTACCAGATTATAAGGAAAGGTAGAATATGAAAGTAAGGTGTTTTGCTCCCTTAGSTCCTTTTAAAAGCAAACTCAATATTCTAACGTTCAGTACCCAGAGTTCCTGAAGATACCATGAAGTAGGAATGAGACATTCCTGCCCACTACTCAAGCAATTATTCTTGGTCAAGAATCTTTGCTTCCATCGTGCCAATCCTTCCTGCCATGCTCTGAGAGGTGCTACCTGCTCCCACAACAGCAGGAATACAGTAGGGGCCAAGGATTTCTGCCTTCCCATAAGCAAGATACTAACTCCTCACCTATACAAATCAGTGACTCTCCCACAAGCAGGAACTTCAACTTACAGAATAAGTAGAACTAACATTTCTGTACAGYGTCAGCTCCTGATTTTATCTACTGAGGTTATGAAGTAAGTGACTTTGGGGCTAATGTTCCCAAAGATACCTCTTATCAAGCACTTTACGTTCTAATAAATATGATTATCTTCCCCCTATTTTTCTCTGATGAATCTCACCATTCTGAGGTAGTGCTGATTTGAGGAGGGGAGAAGGAGTTAATGAAGAGGGAGAGAGAAAAAAAAATTCAGATAAGTCAATTTTAATTAAGCATCTGGAAAACGAAAAGCAGCAACCTTACCAGTATCAGTTATTACCTGCAGCAACTCTTATTAGCTAAAGTTACACAGAAAATTCAAAACACCTAAATTCATTTAAAGTGATGCACTTTTGTAAATGTGCAACTAAAGGGCTGCTTTTACCTGAGCAACTGTCCTCATCATCAGAAAGAGGCACCTCCCTTTTCAACAGCATTTCCAGCTCTTCTGTTTCAGCTACGTCAACCGGTCTCTCCCCGTGCTTGTTGGCTTGAAATGGGTTTCCACCATGTCGAAGAAGCAATTTCACAATCTGCAGTGTTAAATAAACAGACTTTTAGTTTCTCCATAACATGTTACTTAATTAACATAAAAATACTTAGTTGCACATGAAACACACAGATCATGTGATACCCATAAAAAACAAGTAACGGTTAAAAAAYGAAAAAACACAATCAGGTTATTGTAACTCTAGTCTTTTCAGATCCTATCATAGAGTCCTGTGTGATTAAGGAATAGTTTCTACTTTTCATTTTAAAAACACATCAGAGTCAGTAATTACATAAAAAGGGAGAGTGGAGTCATTTTTTTTTATCTGGCTTGCAGAAGACAACAGTAGATTAATTAATTAATGTAAAATACTGGCAGTGATCCATTTATTTTTTCCTCGAAGTCATGAATAGCATTTTCTGAAAAAAATAGTAAGAATATATTTACCTAATTTCTGAGTTGATAAACAAATAAAACGAAAATAACCTTTGAGTATATTGTAGCTGTGTGTATATAATGCATGCATGTATGTGTACACACATACACTGTATAGAGGCATTTCTCTCTGGAGAAACCTATACGGTAGAAGTCTTCACAATGAAATATTTTCCAAGGACTGTGGCTCTCAAGCTCCCTGTTTCTCCCCCAGCACACTCACATTCCGATGGCCACTGCTGGCGGAATCATGGAGCGGTGTATCGTCATCCAGGCCCTGAGTGTTCACGTCTGCTCCTGCTGCTATCAGCACTTTAGCTACATCGTAGTAGCCAACATTACAAGCTTCATGGAGAGGGGTCCAACCTACAACGAGCAGCGGAAAGGGCAAGTTGGAAGGTCAAAGATTAAAGCATTTTGTTGTCTTTGTAGTACTCTAAAATTCTAGTGCCTTGAATCATTTCTGAATACACTCAGACACCATCATTTATGGAAAGTGTAGTAGCATCCATCTGATGATCAACATATGCACTATCAACTGCGAGCTTCATGCCAATGAATTCCCAATTTCCGTGCGATTTAAATGAAAAACTGAATACAGAAGACATTAATCAAATACGAGAGAAATCTGGCCAAAAATTCCTGGGCTAAATATCTTAGAAATTCTTTAAACACATTATTAGGCACATATGAACAGCATCATTCCTTCCAACAGTATGGTTTCCAAACTGTTACTAGATAGAATAAATATGACAAATTATTATAACCAGTAATTCTTTAGAGTCACTGAACATGCATCAGGAATCATCATTTAGCCACAGTTAATCTAGGTAACAGGCTACTAACAAACACCACTAGAAAACTGACTTCTAAAATATTAGTCCCATTAGTTGTTTCCACACTGATCATCTTAAAACCAGTGCTCCTCATTTTTTTGTAGCAGAGCCTCAGGCGGGCAAAAGAGCAGATGCCGTATTCCAAACCTCAGTAGACTCCTCTCCTCCTCTGGTGCCTTCCACTTCACAGATGCCCTCAACTTGCAGCCTGCTGTTGCTGTTTCAAAGCCCAGTTCGGGGAACATATTCAGCTTTYGTTCTACTCAGTGCAAGTCTAGAAGAGTTATTCACTTGGGCTCTCTTGTCAGCAGAGGGCTTGCACCTCAGCTTAGGAACCCACAATTCAAAGACTCCCCCATTAAAATTGCTCCTCTTTCATCTCTCACTCAACTTCTAACCTGCTACTCACTTAATAAAAAGGGGGTATCTAACCTACTCTGCAGCTGAATACTCCTTCCTGATCCTCARTGCTAAGTTTCGTCTCCAGTCACCACTTGGGACAATCATTCTCAGCGCTTTCTGACTCGCTTGTTCTTCTTTCTCTCTTGCCAACACTTGTCCTTTTCCCACTGCCCATCAGTGATGACCCTCTGCTGCTCTCTGCACTCTGATCCCCATTTTCTTCCCTTCACTAGTGATCTGCTCCATTAATTCCCTCCCTAATTTGTTCTTCTCCACATTTTACTGCTTTGTTTTTTTTAAAGCTGTCACAATGTCCAGCCTGCCAACTCCAGGCCTGGCTGGCTCTCAACATGTTTCCTTTGCTCCTGTTCTCACGCAGCAGTATCYTCACAGAAGATCTTGCTGGCAGATATCCCATGAGCAGGGTTATTTCCTCCATTACTAATTCATTTTCTCCTTCTTCAGTTCTGCCAAATTCTTAGCTGAAAAACTTCAAATTCTGTAACTTCCTTCAACATTAAATCCTTATTTGTCTCCATCCATGACTCACTGCTCAAATCCTCCCCTCTTCTTGACTTCCTCCCCTGTASAGAATTTTGAAGCTCGGCCACCTCTGCTTCTCACTTTGGATCACCCATGGAAAAGCATTTCAGCTGACCCCAAACACCTCCTCCAGAGTTCCTAATGAAGTCTCTCCACTTGCTCCTAATCAGTTCTCGAAAAAATCAACTTTCAAACATCCTCCTCTTCCTTCACCCTACTTTTAGTACTAATTAAAAAATCTCTTCTTGAAGTGTTTTTATTCACCACAAGATTTCCATAGGTCTCACTCCTGAACCTCTTCCTCCTTCTCTAAAGCTGCTCTTTCAACAAGGTCTTTCCATCTCTCCTCTGAACCTCTCTGAAGATCCCACTGGATTCCACCTCTGCYTCCTTTCTCTTCTGCTACAAATTACTCCTGGGCAGCCCATCTTAAAATACAAATTCAGTTACCCCCTCTCTTCTTCTGCTTCTTACATAAATCATGCTTTAGTCCATCTCATCAGTGACTTCTCTTGATGAGAAGCATGAGCTAACAACTAATCACACCACACASATGTTATTTCCCTTCACTGGTGTCTAACTCATCTCACAATTTCCCCTCAGAATGGAATTCTCCTCATAACCACTCTCACCCATATCCTACAAGTCATTCAGGCCAGTGACATGAACATCTTCAACAGGCTTCTCTGCAAGTCTGAATCTCTCAACAGTATCACACACACTCAAAACTCCCACCCATGCTTTCAATATGTTCTTCCTTAAAAAAAAAAACACCAAAAAATTAAAAGTGGTTAAGCTGCTGGCACTGACAGTTAGCTAACTGGCATCTCCAAATATACTAACTGATCTTCAATATTCATTCTGATTTTGAATACCAAAGAGAATGTGTATCAGCTTACCTGCAAAGTCTTTTACGTTCACATTTGCACCCATGCTGATGAGCTCCTTAACCTGTTTAACATCCCCTCGGATGGCTGCCATGTGAAGAGGAGTCTCCCCTCGCTCATTTCTCTTGTTAACTTTGTCTTTTTGCCTTGAGGAAGAGCTCGTGGTTTTCTTCTGTGCTGGTGTTGTTTGCAAGGTTAGGTTGGAATCTACAAATAAGTTTTAAAACAGTCACTGTAACTCATTAACACTGCTTCTACTTTACCTTATTTAAACTCTTAAAGATAATAAAAAGCAGCAAATGATTACRTTTAAATAAACAACTAACTTCATATGTATACACAACAGGTATTGGCAGTGTAAAAGAGGCTGTTTACAAAGTCTCATTATTTTTCAAACAGACTTCAAGGACAGACAAATTCTATCCAAGGTACAGGGTTCACGCTCTCTTTTGAAAAACAACATAAGGCTTCATCATGCAAATCAGTGTCATTCCCCTCCTGTTCCCAGCACATTCCAGCTAGGATTCTTGCTGGATAGCCATTTAAGGATTAATTACTTTCTGTGTATTTTTACCCCCTGCACCTCCTCAGCTGCATCAACCCAACTGTTTTGGGGGCCTGGAGAGTAAGCAGCATCAATAAAGTGATCCAGGTTAAAAACAACCTATAGGGGAAGAAGCAGCAGCTTCCTTTTAAAGGAAGGAATAGGAACCTTTTAAATCAAGGAGACGTGTTGAAAACCACATCCTGATCTGCCTGCATGGAGTGTGTTGACAGGTGCTAAGAGACAGATCAGCAGTACMTGGTGCACCTAGAGACACACACACGTCCAGTAGAATTTCCAGCAGCACCTGAGCAGATCAACCACCCACTCGCCCAAAGTGCTGACTTCTAAGCTGGCAGCTGCTAAGTTATGCATTCAGGAGCGCCTCATTACAGGCACTTACCAAATGCCCCTGAAAATCTGGTTCCAATTCTGTTCTCATTAGCAGTAGCTCGCTAAAAGGCATTTTATCAAAAATAAGAGAAGCCACTACAAAGCCAGATTAAAAGAAAGAGAAATACTGTATTACAACAGTCTGCATCACGTTGTCTTGTAGTCTTTGATTATGGGGAGTTAAAATAATATTCTGCAATTAAAAGTTATTCATGTATTTGCTTATGTAATTGCTTACTGCTATTAATGCATTTAGTTATTATACAATTATGATAAAGATCTGTGAATATAAACACATGTAGAAATTAGAGCTATATCTAAAATATTTCCCTCCAAATGTTGGTCTAGTGGGGAATGCCTACTAGTTAAATGTAATGCCTCAGCAAAGTGGTCCAGTTCAACCACAGCTTAAAGAAAACTATGCAGTACTTCAGGTTCTGAGGGGTTTTATGGAAAGGAGAGGGCCTGGAAGCCCTAAATTCTTCCGCAGCTTTTGTAACACCCGACAGGAACCTAGACCACACCGGGTCTGGTTTGCATCTTTGCAATTCTTGGGATTTAGTCTCTCAAACTGAGAGTGTGCCTATGGCCCTGAGATTCAAGACTTTCATATATACTTGGGCTTTCGCAGCATGAGACTTTAATTTATCCTTTTTGAAAGAGGGGGAGAGGGGGAGAGAATTCCAAAGTCAGAGGAATCTTCTAAGGATACTGCCTGAAGGACAGTCCAAAATTAATTAACAGAAAGAACATCCCTTAGGAAACACTGCTACTTACTTTTAATGCAGATTTTATAAGAACATTACATCTTTAGAACATATACATATTTGGACAGCAGTTAAACTCCATGAAAACAGATGGAATTTCAGTGGGTTTTTTTTTAAGCATATAAAAGGAGCATTTGAGAGGTAAAATAATCAAAGAAAACAGGTTTTCAGGTTTTACAGCTGACATACCTCAAAAACTTTTGCACACAATGAATACAGAAAGTCAAGAACTTGTCATCAAAGCAGTTTACACGGCAAAACAGTGTTTTACAATGCTTATTTGTCAAAACATTTCATCGCTTATGAAGGATTGTTGAAAAATTGTAGGTCTCAGACTAATCTTACAAGGAGGGAATTCAACAGACAGGAGAAAGAAAACTTTTAACTTTGTGAGAGTATCACCTGGGCTGTTGTCTCTTGCTGTCATCTGCATGAGAAGTGCCATCTGTTTGCGCTCCGACAAGGGATAACCAAAAAGAATGCTGACTGGTGTGGATTTCTTATTTCCTGCATCCTTCTTCATTTTCTTTTTTTCYGGAACTTCTTTTTCTGGAAATATTAATTTATCATACTCTGAAACTGGTGTTTTATTAACACATTTTTCTAGAAATAAAACTTGCATTTTAAAAGTGCATGAACTGGTGGTGATTGGAGGGGAGGAGAGGATAAAAACAGAAACTGCACCCACTACTTGTTACATTTCCATTAGTTTTTGTTAAGTATTCTAATCACATCAGGATAATAGAACACTAAATACTTAAAGCATTAAGGAAGATTAAAACTCTATGGTTAGGAGCTATGGCTAATTGATCATTTTCATACCTATTCAATACCTATGAATTCTTACAGAACTCAAGATCAGTTAAAGGTATTCTCAAATAAAAGATTTTTTTATACCCTAATAATTTTGAAATTAGAGTTTTATTTGTATATTTTGGAAACTCTGTCCTACGTTTTCCATCCATTCCAAATTCTCTTCCTTGATTTTTCTATAGATGGTTCCTAAACCAAGCATAAACATTAACCTCATAGCATGATAGAAAACAATTGATTTGTGATGAGGTAACTTTGACTAAAGTTACTAAAGTGCTTTTAACTGCAACAGTATTTACTGAGTATTATATTTAGTACTGTATACCAAATGTATGAGTATTCACACCATGTACTCATACCAATGAATATGTATTGGTAAACAAGTATGATCTTTCATACATTACAACTATCTCAAAGAACCTCCCCTCCATCAGAATATAACTTTTAAACATATATTTCTGGCACTATATTAGTTTATAGTTGTGTATAGAGAAGATTGTTCACTTTGTGTAGTTATCGAAGCACTGATTTGTTTTGTCTGTCTTAAAAAGCTCTTGCCAACTTCAATATTTTACATTCTGTAAATATATCATATTATTTGTATGGTATGTCTGTGTTAGCTGTGTTTCTCCCCAGAGCCCCAGGATTACTGCTTGAATATAAATGCACTGGGTATCACAGATCACTCAAAGGACATCAGGAACATACTTAATGATATGTCCTTAAAATTCTAGAACAGTTAAATTTGTAAGCAAACATGTCAAGAAGGAATAGGCTGAGGAGTATCTTAATTATATCAATCATCAGAAATAACATCTTAAAATTCTTTTGCAAATAACTCCCTTGGTTTTCCTTCCYAAAAGGCCCAATTTATGCAATGCATATAGCAGACAAATCAGGTTTATATATCAGGGATATATTTTGAAAACGCCATCAAAATGCTATCATTTGCCAAAGCAGAAAATTTTTGATAAGAAATGTCCATTGAGGCAAAGTTCACTCTCCTGCAGAGAGCCAAAAAGCAATAAGAATTACAGGTTATAAGCTTAAGACCTCCTTAAGCCGGGTTCCTACCCATACACCACACCGTTCGGTTCAGCTCTGAACTACTTCTTTATCCATCCTTTATTTAGGATGGGACTTGCCCCAATTCCTGTCCCATTCCGTCCCTCTCTGCGCCTCTCCCAGTTTCCTCCGCTCCCTCTCTTTGCTCCTCTCCTGCCTGCCCGGCGCTCACGGCTAGGCCTGGCCGCGCGCAGGGAGCACAGGGCGCCTCTCCAGCTCCCCTGGGGCCGGTTCACACGGGCCCTTACAGGCCCAAGAGGTAGAGCAAGACTGCTTTCAAAACAGAAAACTACAGGCCTAGGTACATGGTCAAAGTTACAAATTTATCCACCATGTTTAAAAAGAAAATGAGGAGAAGCCTTTTACTTATGTGAATGTTGAGATTTTCCAGAACTGCACGCATCTCACGCTTCCTAACGTCTAAAAATGCACTTAGTCTGTAAATAAACACTAGCACCCTATAGGCAGAAAGTCCAATAGAAAAATCCCACGAAAACGTGGAGTGTAACTGTACTTTCAACTTCCATCTTTGGAAAGTATTTTACAATCTTTAGAATGTTGGGTGCTTTCAGAAATTCTAACCAGCCAAGACACTAAAGCCAGGCTCCAAAAGTTGTCACAGGACTCCAGCTGGCACACCCAGGAATGCATTTACCTGGCTATGCCCTGTAAGAAGGCACTAAATTCTCCTCATAGATCAGTAGATCTGAATCTATCAGATATGAAGACACAGGTAAAAAGCAATGGAAGGGAACTATATCAATGTGTGTGTGTGTTCTTCTATATATATTAAAAAAAAAGATCCACAGAAAAAGGATAAAGGAATAGGAATATCCATTATGCTAAATGGGGAATAAACCGTTAAGATTTGATTTCCCTGCTCTAAGAATATCACTGCAAGGACAGTATACAACACATCTCATTCAGCAAGAGTAAAGAATAGTGAGTCACAGTTGCACACTTGATGCTTATGTGATTTGAACACTAATAGCTTCCCCAACTGAGAAACAGTGTAATTCAAAAAAAAAAAAAAGTTTATGTAGAAAATCACTTATAAAATTGACAATGTGAATTTTTAAGTGTTTTTGGTTTTGTTTTTCCTCTCATTTTCAATTATTTCTGTTTTCCAAGTTAATTGAAAATACAAGTACCTTGTTATTCCCTATTATCTGTTTTAGTGACCACTTTCTGGTCATTTTGGGGTATTCTTCAGCATTTAGAAACATAGTATTGGGAAATTTCKGATTTGTTATAAAACCTCCCAATCTCTTCAACTCCCTTTGTTTCATCATTGTTACAGAGCAACCTTCAAAATGAGTAGCCAAATCCAARTGGACAACATTCCTTGTCACTTTTTTTCCTTTTGCAATGTGTGTTTTCCATCTAAAGGACACAGYCATCAATAGTCAAGGTCTGTGAAAGAGCACTGCTGGTGCATGAGCACTCTTCTTGCTGGAAGGGCTCCAAGGAATTGACTCACGGTGCTTAAATGTGCCATGCGAAACACCAGCACCCCGGCAGCTCTTATTGGAGAATTTGTGCAAGACAGACTATGTCCCAGGAAAATCAATAGTTGTCTTTGGTTTCTTTGGATTTGAAGATGATAAATTAATTTTGCAAACAATTTCTAGAAAAAAATTATGAAAAATCTTTAGGATTCTTCACAAAAATAAGCTGGAAAGCAATGCGCACTGAATTTCTCAAGACAAACCATGCCAAATTAAGTCAATATTGCCTCTGGTCACAAAAGCATCTTGTAGGCAAAGGAAACAAAACAAAAAGAACAAATTCAAACTTTAGAGGCTTCTAATAGACTATTTTCATGTAAAACTTTACTTTCATGTAAAATAATGAGAGTTATAAAGAATAATCAGATTAAAAAAGGAGTCCATGTGAAGCTTAAAGATAAGCTGGTTAGAAGAAAATCAGTAATTACAAGGAATTTATAAGACTGAGTGATGTATAGCAAAATCCTAATATCCTTATTAGCAATACACAGTATGACAGGTCAAGATGATCATCAGACCTACAGATGATAAGAGCGCTACAGTTACTATAAAGTGATAAGATCTCCACGATACTGATAACCTGATTTAAGTTATTTTAAAGARGAGCTCATCATGATTGATCGTTTCTTCCCAAATTCAGCTAGAGAATGATGAAAATGTGATGAAGAGAACAACAATATGCTGCACACTACCAAAAAACTAATATTTTGGTGATGCTTAATCATGTTTTTGATGAGTAACAATTTTACAAAGCCAAAATATACACACACTGCTCACTCGCCTGTCTGCAGCCCCAAATCCAAACCCAGCAAGCAGCTACAGGTTTTTAAAGTTTCTAAAGTATCTACTTTAGAAGCCCCACTATCCTCAGAAGAGGACTGAGGAGCATATATATAAATGTGCAAKCTCTAGTAACTCTAGTTACACTATAAATGTGTAACTGTAGTAACTCTATACACTGTGTTACTGTGATGTACGTATGGAATGCCAAGAGGAGTTATTCTGCTTTCCTGGATGACAGGTCAGTGTCAGAAGAAACAGGTCTGTGTCATGTTTGGGCAATTTTAAACAGAAATTGAAGAGACCAGAAAACAAAACCAAGACTATCATAAATAGTCTTGAGAACATTATTTGAAAGAAAGACCAATAGAACTGAACATACCCMAAACTGTTCCAAGATTTAAATATAGAGTTTTTCTGTGAATAACCATCTATGTAGTAAGAATATAAAAATGTATATGTATATCTTTAGAATGTAGAGATCTTCGCCATCTTCAGGTATGTTCAACTTTCTAGATAACCTGGGTTGTGATTATTAAGGTGGAGCATTCAAAGAAAGTTGCCCCTCACAAAAACAGTACTTGCTTCTTATTCTCACTCGGATAACAGCTTCAGGGGGTTATTTTAAAATAACCAAAATAACTAACCAATTATGAAACTTAAATAAAGTTTTTTAAGGTATTCTAAATCAGTGCTGGCCTTTAAATAAAATGGCTTCTTTGGACTGGAAGACTTGAACATATAAAACACAAGAGGCCATATAAAAATAAAAGTGTAAGAAACTTTCTGCCCTCTCCTGTCCATTCTAGCAGCCTAAAATCAGAGGCTACAGGGAGAATCCTGCCCCAAACTGATTTTGGCAAGCACTGAAGCTGCACATGGTTCTACCTGTGTGGAAAACACACACACAAGGAGTTTGGGCTAGAGCAGAACAYATAGGCCACAAGATTGTAAGTTTGCATCTCTACAAAGGAAGGAGGAAACTGCTCCCCCTTCTTTGGCTGATGAGCAGGACAAAGGAACCCAGGCAGGTGGGAGACTGAGGGAGCCAGGAGTGGGGGGAGAGGCTGCAGGGAGCCTGGAGTTACCTGTGGCGTGAACACATGGAGGGAGGCAGCAGTTGGGTGCAGSTGGCCGGGCAGGCTGTAACTCCCGAGTCCCTTGGCCAGTGGGGAAAAGGAGAGGGCCACCGCGTCTGGGAAATTAGGATAAAAGGGGGGCTGYGTCCCCTGGCAACCTGAGAGACCCCACAGGGATATGCCCGGTGGACTCATCCTTTATTCAAATAAAGTTTTGGGTCTCCTCTGTCTCCTTGTGGACATTCAGTTCTTGACAGCRAGATTTTTCCGCACACACCCGAGCGCAGAGCAAGCACCTACACCATGCCAGCTCCCCGGGGCCGCTCCGACAGGCCAGGCGGCCGCGGAGGCCTCACCTAAGGAGGGCTCTGCACACCAGGCCAGCGAGCAGCGCCACGGACACCCTGCACAACAGCAGAAGCAACAACATGATGCTGGTGCTGAGAGAGAGGTACACAGAGCTATTTGAGGGGCTCCGGTTGCCTCTCTGGCCTCGTCAGAAGGCCAATGCAGAYGGCTCGGGTTTTATCTCTTGGCCCTGTGCAGCTTTCTCAGTGGTCTCRGGCATCTCCAGAAGCATTTCATGGCATAACTCAGGCACCTGGGCTCCACCCTATCCAGTACAAAATTATTAATGAAGCAGCCAGGAGGCTAAAGCTGAAAAGATTTCCATTCATTTATTGCAGTAGTTTCTTAAGCAAAAGCAATGGTTTAAACCCAAAATTAAACAAACAGAAAGACTAGAGGTTTTCTAGACTCTTATAAAACACTTTGAACAGTTTGATTCCAGTCTTGCCAAAACTGGCAAGGTATAAAATTTACTACATAGTTCTATAGGAATAACCAATTTTTAAAAACAACTTCTAAATGAAGTTACATGAATGTACAATTGGCTTGGCTGCCTATCTTCATTACTGCTTCCAGAGAGGTAGAAACTGTTGATGAAAATCCCACAAGAGAGGTAATATTTGAAGTTCCCAGAGAAAAGGAGTAAAAACAAGGAGTTAATCAAAAGTATTTTCTCCAAAAATAAGAGATACTTAGTTTATGTTTGAAAACTCCMGAGGTAGCATTGAGACAACTCTAACTCTGTATCAATCTGTGCCTTCTGTGTCAATGCTAATCCAGGTCAGTGCCAAACCCAATACCAAGATATTGTTAATTCTCACAGTTGGAGTCTAAGTGACAAAGGGCAGAGCAGGCACTAGAAGAACTGGATTCTAGTCCTCATGATGCTGTGGCCTCTGGAAGACTTCTGTTCCTGATTTCAGTCCCTCATCTGTGAAAGAGGCTGGTGGCTTCCCTGCCTCAGCAGGAATGCATGCAGAAATCTGCAACATGTCTTAAATAAACTGGAGAAAAGCTATGATGTAATTAAAAGCTGTGCACTTGCTATTGTTACATTAAGAACCTGCTGTCCCTACTCCAACTCTTCAGGTCATCTCCCTGCTACAGGTTTAAAAGAAACATTTTGTAGTGTGTGCACTGTCTTTCTGCATATGTCTGTGTGCAGAAATAACCCATATTGTCTGTGGCAACTGTAAGGAGATACTACAGCAAAAGAAAAACCCCCAAAATTACATTACCTTACAAGATGTTGTGACAATGAWTTATTTGGTGTTGATGGAGGTGGGAAGAAATGACAGAGGATTTTGAATAYGGAAAACATTATGTAACTGCTAAATATTACTCCTAGATATATTTATTTACATTAGCAAAAACAGTTACAGTCTAATACTAAGCAACAGATTTAAGAAAGCAGATGCTGGGGGCATACTTAGAATTCAATACTAGAAAYATAGTCTTTTCAGGATCGAGTGGTATCAAGACTCTAAAATTCCATAAAATACCACTAAAAATGAGATTCAAAGCCCCTCATTTTTTATTATTATTATTTTCTAATGTGACTATTTCAAATTTGTATTTAATACCACATTCTTGTCACAGTAATAAGTACAAAACATCTAGYAAGCAAACCTTCTACATGAAATCCTGGACAGGAAGCAAATATGTACTGATGCTTACGCTATTACATGGCATTTAATTCTAATCATGTTAATGGAATTGCTAGCTTACAAAAACAGGCAAGCTTATAATGAGTCAAGCTTGACTGCTGATATGAGAATCGTAACATTGAACAAGCAGTATGGAGAAATCTGCAGAATATGCCTTCCAGAAGGCATAAATACTGCCTTCTTAGCAAGAGAACCAACGCTGGATTAGAGGATACATGTAATCATGTAAATTTAGAGATAACTATACTCTGAATTACATCCCACATACTCACTCCCTCTTGATTTTTWAAAAGAGCCATGTTTAGAATGGTATCTTGAATTTTAAGTATGTGCTACTAGAATTGGTTTTAACTTGGGGAAAAAATAACATCCTATGCAAAAAGGGATCCAGAAAATATCATGACAATTTAAACAAAATGAGGAGCACCCTCTCCACAACTAGTTTAACCACAGCTAGTTCCATAATCTTAGCATTTTTATTATGGAGGATAAAACACTTCCCCGTCTTTCCCACACTCCCACCCCCTGCCAAAAAAGGCTACAGAGAACTGTGCCTCAAAGCAAGACACTTAGAGCTTTCTATCAGTTTACCTCTTAAAGCAAATAAACCTCTAAATAACAGTGAAAGGAAAGACTTAAGGCTGAAATAGAAGCAAAAGAATGAGGTTAAGAGTTGCCTGGAAAATGCAGATATTGTGCTGGAATGATAAATGGTAAAGGTGGATAGGACACAAGTCCATTAGATTTAGATCCAACAGTGAGAAGCAAACAACTTTTATACTTAGTATCTCTTTTTCACATRAAAATAATCAACACAGAAAATATCAAAGACAATGAATAAAATTAGGATGTGAGTTATCAGCAAATAATTAGTTAAGGAAAGAAAAAGGTTCTACCTGCGTCTGAATTGCGATCTTCATTTCTGGATGGACTAATAGTGAAAGGAAGTTTACGTTTCATAGAAGACTTTTCTTTCATCTCCTTGCCCACATTACTCCTGTCGACTTTTGGAGTTTTGCTGTAGGATGCAATCTTGTCCTTGCTCTAATATAAATAAAAAGTATACTAAGTAATTTTCGCATAAAGCAGAACACTATCATAATGTCCAGACTGAATATGTTGTGTGAGAGTGTACATGCATGTTTGTGAATACATACATCATACACTAATTTTTTGAACAAAAAGACACAACAATCTTACTAAAGATAATTTTTTAAGAAAATCTCTGTATTATTTATACTACTCAGATACATCACTGTATTCACTATTAGAGCCTTGATTAATAAGCAAGGGAACAACACCATGTAGACAAAATTTTATCAAGTCTAAGAATTATTTTTTTGCTCTAACCATTACATAAAAATCACATTAAAAGCTCAAATTGCAAAACAGGCTGTGAAAAATAACAAACAGTTAACAAAAACAGAAAAGCTCCCAAACCCTCCCTGTTCCCTCCACCCCGACCTCTGCTGGGGTGTTAAAATGGGAACTCCCTTCCCATTTTAACCAGGGGAGAAACAGTACAATGTATCACATTCTGAAGCACAATTCACCAAGAACTTCACAAATCTGCAAAGAAACTTAAGCTAACTGGTGTGAAATTCGGAAAAAAAAAAATAAGCTCAAGCTATGTGCGGTTCTCAGATACAGATGCTCAGTATTTTTGGCATATAAAACATTAAACAAAAGAACGCAGCATGGGCACAGACTTCATATTTGTTTGCTTTGATAACACCGACAGTATGCAAGAGATAGCAGGTTAGCAAAAATACTTCTTGAGAGAACCCTCTTCAACAGAGCCTTTCTTTGCCTGCTGATCAAGACGCAGGGTAGAGCATTAGTATTTTCTCATCATTACTTTCTACAGAAACACATTGCTCACCCATGCCATTTACTCCAACCCCACAACTTTAAATCACTCTTAAGAGATGATGGGTGAACACACTAACAGATTCATTTCCTAAATACACCAGGGGAACATACTCTTATTTTACAATTGGTATACAACAAAAGGCTGTTACTTGATACTTCTGAAGCAAGAATTGAGTGAAAAAAAATATTCTGGTCAGAGGAAATTAGAAAATAACTCCAGGCAAAGGTATTATTCTCTAGGGTACCTTTCCTTTATTAAAAAAAAAAAATACATGGCTAAGGTAAGAAGATTAGTTGAATTATATCATCTACCCTCAAACTACTGCTAAAAGGACAGACAAATGATTACAAAACAAATCCACAAAAATCCTACATCATTCAGAAGACAAACATCTGCACCAAGGAAGTGATAAAKAAGGACTAAACTGAAAGTTAGTTTCAAGGGATCACAGACTCCAAAAGTTATCATCTTTCATACAGCGAGCAAGTAGTACCTGACTTCATGCCAGTCAGGGTAAGTCAGTACCAGAATAAACCAACTCCCAAGAACAGAGGATTTTCTACAAGTCAGAGTTTGAAAGGAAAGGCCTGGAAAACATTTGCCAGGAATCAACAGCAGCTTACTCTGCTCTGGGGCACGGCACGAACCGCATCTCTCCATGTCAGCAAGATGACCAACTCTATGTCAGCAAGATGACACGCATGCGCTTTGAGGAGGCACGTGCAATTTGTCATCTGTTCAACACAAACCTCCCCAGAAGGTCAACAGAACAGTGGGGTGGGTGATCTCTTAACACACTTTTCCACGTGTAYCTTCTAGTATTTCCAGAACCAATGACAACACATGGAAACAGATGATGGAACAGCATAGAAACCAGCAGATGCACTAAGCCCAGAGAGAGAACGAGCCGTKGTCTTCTCCTGTCAAAGATAATTAATTATAGACCAAAGGGTGCCCGGTGTGCTATAAAAATGATTTGAGGTATATGTGGACTGTTCTCCACCTCTTAGAAACCCAAATTTGCTTCTCCATGGACTATATATCATTTATTTTCTGGCTTTGGGCCATTTATGCTTTAAAGGACAATTCAGACAGATTAAAATCTCACTATATTTTCATCTTTATAAAAAAATCTCATGCAGACATTGGCTGGTCTACTTGTTGCATGCAGGCTTGTGATTCAGTATTTTATGGTCAGAAGGTGACCAACTGGAAAATACACATACCCTAAGAAACATGTGATATAAGCTCATCAGTCCTAAGGATTTCAAGCTCTCCAAATACCTGATAACTTGGACTTTTTGTGTAGCTACTTACTAGTTTTTAAAATGGCTTAAGGTTAACTTTCATGCATAAACATAGAATTTTGAGTCTTACGAAAACAATGCCAAATTTCTCAGTTCAACAGTGAAGAACACACAGTCAATATGAGCTAAACATTTTCTCAGTTATGAAGGAAAAAAGAACCCTCCAAGTGTTTGCCTTTTGTCTCAATGTATTAATCACTGGGACACTATTACTACATATATTTAGTCCATTAGTGTTTTTTTTAAGAAAACAAAATTAGGGAGTGGTGTCCTTTAGCATTATTCTATTCTAAGATGTACTGTTTTGTGTTAAAATTGTTGGTAAATAGGCCTCTGTTACCTACCTCCTATCTACAAGCATATCAGGGAACACCTATAATTACACTTCCCATCTGTTTCTTTACAGTGACACAAATTAAGCTGCAAGAGCAGTTTGAAGAACTTTCTGCTTCAGTAACAGCCATGCCCTACTGCACACAGGAGCAGGGAAGGGAGGGCAGGCCTTAGTGCAGATGRGGCTTATCTCTACACTCTGCAGAAACAATAAAAGGGCAAACTACACGAAAAAGAGCAACAGGTAGAAAATACCTGCTGTATTACAATGGTCTGGAACCATTTTAAGTGTCTGGAGGTTGAAGACGACCTCCCCTCCCCCCTCAGRCTCTTCGCCTACCACCCTCAGACACAGGCTTCTCTGATGGCAGAAGGAAGGCCCACGCAGTGGTGAGAGAACTGCAGGGACATCAATCTATTCTCCAGATTTATCAACACGTTTTAATAAATGACTAGGTTTTATGCCCGTATTTCTAGTTCATGTGATTAATCTTTACAATACATGTTCTTCTGATGCAACAACCAGCTAAGCAAACTCTTAYGAGATCCAGTACCTCAACGAAATGATTTTGTGTGATCATTAAGTACTGATTGTTAAATTATTGCTCTCCAAATCAAATTTTAAAATCCATTTTAGAATTCCAGATAACACAGGTGGAATTAAGTCTCATCTCCACACAGATCACTAAATTTGTATCRTTTTCTTCCAGCACAACATCTCCAGCTCAGAAGATTATCCAGCTTTTGCAGGGACTGCATGATAGGAGGACAAATGACCTGTYGGCTATAACTGCTTCTGAGATTAGCAGAGCAGGAGCAGCTTCTGGGCACCTGAGGCAGGAGGGAGGCTCCTGGCCAGGACAGTGCAGGGCAGGCAGCTCATCCAACAGCTACTCCAGAAACTGGCACCATTTTTCAGCTAGCGGGTGACAGAGAAAGGGGATGAGAAGGGCGCTTGGGTGGAGGGTGGAAGAGAAGCAGAGCTCTGAGATGTCTTGAAAGTGCAGAGCTCTTTATATGAAAAATTTAGAGCCTTTGGAGAAAAAAAAAGGAACCTGCACTATGAGAAAAGTTCTATTTCTACATATGTACACATAAATCGATGTACAACATTCAAATGCATAAAAAAGGCATTATAGACATCTCTAGTTATATTTTAGTAGGGAAACAGTATGCTGGAAACGTAACAAGTTTGGTATATTCCAGCAAATGCCCTGTTTTGTTTTGATGAAAGTGAATGAAAGATGGAAAGTTTAAAGGCACAAAAGTTGAAAACAGTGGCATAAAGCGGGTTTAATATCATGAGCAGCTCCTGATTACTCATCYTCAAGATTCTTTGAGGTGTTAGAAAGTTTTTATCAGAAACATGGAAGGGTCAAGATGATGAGTTCAAAAACCCAGAAGATGCTGCCAGTAACCAGAAGGCAATACTGGATATCAATGAATGTCACCGCAATAGCCTCCCTATTCTTGCTGCCTGTGCAAGCCCAGGGATTACCTCCTCTTTCTTAGCGTTGATTATTTTATTTGATATTATCTCAATCAGCAGCCAGAAAAGACATACACACACATACATATGTCTTTTCATTCCTTCATTAATATGCTTTTTTCCCCCTATTTTATTTCTTCTCCTATCTTCTTTTTCTCTAACAATAGCTCATCACAGCTGGTAGAAATAATGTACTTTGGCCTCACTTTCCTGGGATGATAAAAAACCAAAACACCAAAAACAAAACACCAGGGAATGGACTGAAAATTGTTCTGACAATTCTTCTCAGAAAAGAATACATTTAAAGAAGRCGCTGCACCCTCATCTTTTATCATTAATTTCTCATCTTTTTATTCATTGATCTGGTGGTATCACAGAGAAGACCAGCTAAACATCAATATTGTGATGAGAGACACACAGTGAGCATATACATATAGGAAGCTAAATGGATTCTGTCTTCTTACAGCAATAAACAACCAAATTATGAGCAACTTCTGACATTTTTGTTAAAATCCGATTTTTTTCATTTAGTATATATGGGTCATTCAGAATGCACTAAGGGAGATTGCTGCAACAGAAACCCACTTTCACAGAAATCCTAAACTACAGTTGCTGCTTAACTATGCTACAGTTAATCAGGAAATAATAACCAGTATTTTTAATACAATAAAATAATCTTCAGAAACTGTGGCTGGATTGTCAATGACAGACAGTAAAAGTATCTTTTAAGGGCAAGGGCAAAAAAGAAAAGATATACACTCATTATTCTATAAATCATTTTCCAAAGCAACCTTTTTCTTACAMGGGAGAAACCTTGGTATGGCCCAGCCTCAACTTCATATACCTGACTTTTTTTTTTTTTTTAAGGCTAACGTTCTCTGTGCATAATCGCAAACTGAAAGTATTGTTCACAATACTGACGAAATAGTTTGTTTTTCTTTTATTATTCCTTAGTGCTACAGCTAAGCTGTGATTGTCTGCTATAGGAGTGCACTAGCCAGAAAAAAAAAAAAGAGTGAGAAAAAGTGTATTCTCCACTTGGCCCTAAAATTTAGAAAACAATAGGATAAAAAACTCAATACACCTCCATGTAGAACTTCAGCCTCCGCATTTAAGAGCAACCCACCTAACCTTTCAGCATTACTTGACCATGCAATTGCCCTCGCTCTCCAGCCCTGCAAAAATGGGGGCACTGTTTGCAAAGCAGACTCGCCTCTGCAGAAATCACTGCTAACCTGGCTGCAGCCTGTGGCTTTCAAGCCCTCCCAGCGGGGAGAGGAAGCCCCTGTCCTGGGCTAAGGAATAACTGAAGAAATGTGTGCGCTTGTCCCCTGCTCTGTGTTTTGTTGGAGGCCTTCAGAAACCTTTCATCTATTACTTACAGAGAGGATGCTTTCAATTTAATAAAATAGCAATAGTTCCAAGCATTTAAAGACTTCTTGGAAGATCAGTCCTAAGCACTAACATACATAAAGTAAACTAAACCCATCTAGCTTCCTTTCAGGATASATTGTAAGCTACAATAAAAGGTATAAATTCTGCTCTTTAATTTCCATTTAAAAGCATGCTTAGAAAAGCTGCACTTTTTTCAGCACTTAAGATAGAAACAAGAACATTGATTTGTATTTATTTCTTCCCATTTCAATAACGTGAATCTTGAAACAACACATTTTTCACTCCATCAGAACTACAGAGAATGCAATTTTATTACCTTTCTTGCAGTTTGTTTCTCCACCATGGTGCTATCACTGTCAGAATTTTCAACGTGAACTGTTTTTGTAGACCCAAATTTGGGCATTTTATAGCTGTTTAGCTAGTTGTATCTTGTATTATGGGGTGCATTATGCGTCTGAAAAAAAAAGAAAAAAAGGAAAAAGATACACATTATATAAAAGTCCATATTTAAAATGCTGCTATAAAAAATTGTTATAGATGTTGCGAGCGTAGATTCCAGCAGAACTAGACAGGGCTCTAAAGCAGCAAACTGTCCTCACAGCTGGCCCYGAGCACACGCCATTTGGCCACAGCTCCACTCTTGGCACAAAAACTAAAGGGCCTAACACAAACACAGCTACTGGTGGAAACAGGGTCACAGCAAAAATCCCCACTTGATGTCAGCTGGTGAACTGCCTCCTCCCTCCCTCCGCCCTGCCTCTTTGCCAGACTCACTGCTTTTGGCTATTTCACAGTTCACGGCTGTTCAAACCCTCATTTCATTTTATGGATAGTAGGACTGGGAGGATGCACCTGATCCTTTCTAGCAACACTGTGAACGAAAGGAGCTCTCTAGTCCAGCAAACTGACATATCCTCTCTATCAAGTATTTCAGAAACAAGGTTAGGTCTTGATGATTTGCTTGCCTTTCTGGCAGACTGGAAGACTGCCTCTTCCTTTCAAAGCTTAGGCCTGGACCTAGGAATCCTAATTTGTACTGTCTAGCAAATTAATTACMTGAGCCATCACCACAGTACCTAAAGCTCTAGAGCTCTGCCATGTTTCTTCTCCAGGGCACACCAAAGGGGTGTCATTAGCRGTTCACAGAATTAATTTTCACATTAGCTTTGATTGCACTTTTCTACATAAAGAAAATGCAAAAGGTGCCTACGAGGGAAAGTCACACTGTCCTAAAAACCTACATGAGGAACATAGTAGACGTCTGCCCTTCTTTCATTTACAGCCCAGCTAGCAACAGCCAAGCGCTTCTCACTATTATTTATTCAGCATCTCGTTAGAACTAAAGTTGTAAAAGAAACAGACCAAAATATCCTGTCAGTGCACTCTTAATTTTTACAATACACAGAAATGCATTAAGTGCTGGGGCAGTTTAGCAACAGCAACTTGCAAGTTGCATCTCTTCTGAGCAAGGAGAGCRGAAAAGGGGAGCACTAACGTTTCCCAGGGCGCTGTGGCACTGAGGAATGGGAATAAGCTGGGCAAACCCAGCTCGCTACTGCGCCCAAGTAAAAGGCTAAAGAAAAGAGAGGAAATGAGAACGCTAATTCCAAATGGGAGAAATCTGTACTGAGAACGTGCATTTGACTGGGAGAAATTCATAAGCTCTTATTTTCAAGCCCCTGAAGGTCCACTGCAGGTTCCCACTCATTTTGCTCAGCTTTAAGCGTCCAAGAGGTTCCTAGATCCCTACATGGCACTGGCCACCAATTCCCAAACTTACAAAGACAGCTGGAGCTTAAATAAGAYGCAGAAACCTACTGCTCCTTGGGGTGAAAGCCAAGAGACCCATCGTGAGTGGAAGAGAGGGCCTGAGAGGCAGGGCTGAAAGGTGAACCTGCACTCGAGGGCATTTTAAAGCTGTTGAGGTTTTATGGGTTGTTTCGGACTGATGAGTTTTGAACATTACCAGGGTATCTGGGGCCACACATCTGAGACACACATACTGCAAGACTGCATCTTGCAGTAACTCCAGTCCTCAGCCAGGTAGTGGTTTGGATATAACTTTTCCATTGTTGCTCTGTAATAAAAGTTTGCAATTAGAATTTGCTGCTGTTACAGGAGTGTAATGCCACTTTGGTTGTACATAGGTAACAGACAAGTGAGACCACAGTTCCTTCTTTGGCAAATGACCCGGGGCAAAAACAAGGCTTTGCATGATAGTCAAAGCTTYGGGTTCAAAAAAAGTGTCTATCTTCCATGCCACCCACTTCAATAACAAAAATGGATGCAGACCTGTGCTAAGGGAAATTTTCTTGGAGAATACTTAAGCTAAGTACCACTGTACACCAAAAAGTAACACAATCATTTTTTAAACTCTTCTGTGGGAAGAAAGAGCTTCAAAACGGCCAGTCCAAAAGCCACAAAATTAGGAAATGAAGCAGTAAAGTTTGTCCTTTGCCTTCCCTGCCCCCACAGCGACTATTTTACTTCTTTGTTTTCTTTTAAAACACTAACCACAAGTTTAAGAAAAACAGGAAAAGCTTAATTAGAAGCCGTCCCACACATAACAACCTGCACCTTGTCTTCGCAGAGATGTCAGGAGGCGGGATACAAAGCCCAAACCTGCGGTGACTCCCAGCCCAGAGCCCCCGGCAGCGCAGGGAAGGACGCAGGCAGCGCCACTGACCCAGCAAGTGGCACCAAGGCAGCTCTCCCAGCTGGCCCTGCTTGGTTCGCCTGGGAAATCCRCTCGCGACGGCAGCAAAGGCTAACAGGGCCACGGGGACACCATCCTCCAATGAGTTTCCTGCCATTTCTCAAAACATTTAATCCCAAGTGAAGCGACCAGTTAGTGTCCGCACAAGCGGCAAACTAATGGTGCGCTGACCAAGCCACACGTGGAGTGCTACCGTAACAGTAAATATTTCTAGTTTTATGGGGTTAACAGAAAACACAAGGCAAGTCTGCTTTTGCTCAGCTCGGCCCTCAGCCCYTCGCATTAAGGCTTTCAGTTGCAGCAGTTCCCCCCTGCCCTGCTGCTATAAATCATGTGCTGGTCCCGGCTTGTGGAAATCGCGTTCATTTCAGAAACAGCTCTGCTCATAAACTGGAATTCCAACTCCTTAGTTTATTCCGAGGTCCTGTAAATTTTTCCTGACGTATTCACATATGCACATATTCACATATTCATATATGCACACATATACACACACACTATACACATATATATATATATACGCATGTGTGCATGCACAAATCTCATCACTGAACAGTTCAACAAAATCTAAGTACAACTCAACTGCTTGGAACAACCTCTATCTGCTCCTGCTTTGCTTCCTCCTGCCTTCATCTATCGTTCCCCAAACCCTTCTGCTTTCAATAGCAAGGGGCCCAACTTCATAAGCTCAGCAGAGATTAGATATAGCTTAGGCTGGGCTCTTTACAATTTGCCTCACCAGTGGGGGTTGAATAAGGCTAGCTGAACAAGAGTTCCTCCCTCATGAAGGGCATGGTCTTCACAGCATCACAGAATGGTTGAGGCTGGCAGGGACCTCTAGAGATCATCTAGTCCAACCTGCTCCAGCAGGGACACCCAGAGCGCAGGGCACAGGGCGTCATCCAGACAGGTTTGGAAGACCTCCAGAGAAGGAGACTCCACAGCCTCCCTGGGCAGCCTGTGCCAGGGCTCTGGCACCCTCACAGGGAAGAAGTTCCTCCTCACATGGAGGTGGAACTGCCTGTGTTTTAATTTATACCCATTACCCCTTCTCCTGTCACTGGCCACCACCAGGAAGAATTTGGCCCCATTCTCCCTACACACAATAGTGCTACTACCAAAAAAGTGACAAAGAATTATCTAACTATGAGAGGTCAAACTTTTCATTGAGAGTTCTTAGGTTTTAAAATATAGGATCAAAACAGCTTTTCAAGAAAATCTAGAACCTGGTTGCTACTCATGAAACTTCTCTGCATAAAACTAAATCAGATATTCCATCTACATCCTCTTGATCTTTGGATGCACGTTTGGTATTGGCTACCAAAAATCTATTACTGGAAATACTGCATTAGCTTTTCTCTCAAGCATTTTTCATATTAGACTACTAACATTTCTCACTTTCTCCTTAAAAATGCCACAAACATAAGAATTCTGACAAATCTATAAGCAGTGAATAAAAGACTAGGATTATATAGTCTAAAACAGAAAATAAGGTAACTTAGGATATAACTCTCTGCAGAAGACTAGTGCTATAAAAAAAATCCAATACCAAGAAGTTACTGTATTAGATTTACATAAATTTACATATAGCACTAATAAAAGGGCAAAGTTTCATTTCACATGTTAGAAAACAAACTAAAAAACCACCTTGCAATTCCTGCTTATCCCATCAGTGGCTGCCATTATTGTGCAGTCCCTGTAAAAATGCCTCGTTTCCTCAGCAACCGARGCCCAAGCCCACGTGTAACTCACCGATGACTTTCAAGACACCAGAGGAGCTTGTCTGAATCCAATGGGGACAGCTAAGTTCAGCACTTAAAAAATCCTTACACTCCCTTGTCAGGGCAAAAGGTGGCCAGAGGAGAAGACAACCAATAATCATCATTTCCTCCAAGAGAAAGCTTCACTATAAGCTCCACTACAGCATATATGAGAAAAAAAAATCTATGTGATGGTCCTATTAAATCACCTCTCTCCCCAGTTAGGGAGGAAGAGTTTCAGTAGGAACTTACATATTCCTAGAGTCAATCAACACATGCAATCAACACACGCAAACCCATAAGCGATTAAGCTCTGTTTGCTTTGCTGGTGCTCCTAGGACTCTGTATTTCCTTCTTGCCTTAGAGCAGCTTCCAAGTTGCCTTCTGGCTCACTTTGTTCCATTTGCTGTTCCCAAAGCACAAAGTTACCCAGTGCTTACAGAGAGTTTTCTCTGGGAACAGTTTACAGTCGGTCTTGAACGTTGGCTGATGGACATTGGAGCAAAGCAATGGAGCATAAGAATGAACGACTGTGATAAGAGCAAGAGCAGATGGGCCATTTCTGAGACGCTGGCTGCATTTATCCATCCATATCTGCATCTAGAAGAAAACGGAACTAGCAGAAGGCAACCTTCTCTACTGTTTCGGGTATTTTTGAGACCAAAAGACCCAAAASCCAGTCTTTTGATAAGGACTGACTGCTGACTAAGAAACCATGGCTTAACTGTACAGAGTTTTTGCTATATTTTTACAAGAGTGCTTTARAAGAGCAGATATTTTTGAAATAGGAAGAGGAGATGGTGATTAGTCCAAGAAAACTAAACTTATGAAAGTGACAGCTACGGCTACACGAACATTAGCAAGAAGCGTAGCAGATCAGAAACGTATCTGCAGAGTGGAAGTATCGGYGATAGAAACCATTTCCACGAGTCCTACTAAGCAGCTTTGCTCGGGGCCTGCTCTAGCAGGTCCATGC